TAGGCATCTCTATCGCGTTGTCGGGAGCGTCCCGATTTCGCTCTGGTACCCGATTACAACGCAAGGAAATGTATGATGAAACGTTTGGGGCCTAACTCTCCCTCACCTGCATCCACCGTCCCCCGTGTGACGGTCTCCGCAGTCTCTCTCCCCCAAGCGGCCTGGTAGGCCGGGGCAGGGGCAAGGCGAGCCGCCGGCTCCACGCAGATGCTTGGCGAGTCGGCCTACCCAACGCGTCGCAGGCGCTAGCAATGCCGATCCGTCAACGTCATCACAATCAAAGAGGAGACTTACGCAAGTCTTAGTTCCCGATTTTGCCTACACTCGGCACATTTGCCTCTTATCAATGTAGGTGGCAACTGTCGATCAATTTTTCCATAAGCTTCATTATGCGAGGTTACTTCAGGAGGAAACCCATAAAATAGAAAAGTAGCAATCGTATGGTTACTTCAGGGATAGCCATTTAAAGCGATGGTTGAGGCAACATTGAAGTAGCCGTTAGAACTAGAACATGGTTCTGATAACTGTATTAACGCTAATTTTGTAATACCTGAGATAACCGTTTAATGGTATTGTTAGAGCGCTCCTTCTCTGGGTGGGGCAGCGTAAAACAGAATAAGATTCGAAGTTACGTAACGCAGAAACTTATAAGAGTTCTCAAATCGAAAAAGGAAGAGGGATTACCCCACGTTACATTCAAAGTTTGACGTGGGCCGAATAAGGAAAACTTTAATATATTCCCTCTGGTGCGCCCTTTCCGTAAACTTAACGATCCGCGGATCCACCGGGTATAGTATAGTACAATAATTTGATTCTTCAGCAAGATATTCTCGAGGGGGAAATCACTCCAGATGAAAGTGTACGTTAGTACAACCTATTTTTAGCGTCATTTTTCACAATTTTTACAAAATTTTGTTCTTACAGCACTATTACGCTTTATTTCTGCCATTAGTACGCGTTATTACGTTGTTAGTACGAAAGTGATTTCTCCCTCGGATATTCTGACTCTGGTCCGATCTCGGAGGGCCCTTTTCCGCAGAGCGACGTCCGGGGAAGGTACTGTAACAGTTCGCTGGGACACTGGCTAGCATTGAAATGTCAGTCAATTTCATACTTGACGAGATATACTTGGATTGCAGTGAGACGTCAACGATTATACTTTTATAGTTCGAATTCAACATCTGTGTGGCCAAAAACATCCGATACAGATGTTAATAAACAACAAATGTTCTTTTCATTTGACTCCTCGTGAAACTCGTGCTATTTGGTTTATATTGGCCAACATCAGAAACTGAGTACTTAGTACTTTGATAAAAATTTACTAGAAAAGTTTGGTTAATTTTGTTAGCAACAACACACTGGTAATTACAACTTATTTTTCCAGGAGCAGAACAAAAGTGCCTGTTTTCGGTCAGGTCAGAAACTTTGTTTCTGAGATTTTTATTAAAGTTTGTTTCATTTTATTTTTAACAACATGAGTTGTTAAAAAACAATGTGTGCTGCTAACAAACTCGACTGATCTTTTGTTGTTAATTTACAACAGCTTTTTAACAGTGAGCCCCACTCTCGACATCGTATCAACGTTGAGTAAATCCATTTCTCACTGGGCTATTTGATCCGGCATGACTACACAAAAGAAGTAATCCTATTCTCAAGCATAATCATCGAAACAAGAATCATGACTTGTTTTAAGGCACTAAACTATAAATTCCTGTTCCAATTGTTCTTATGACATTACAAACATTTTGAGATAGGACTGTATTTGAACATCAATTTATCGGGGTCATCTTATGGATGTTGATGTTTGGGGCGGAAATTTTGACCAAAATTTCTTTGATACAATCAGAAACCAACTGTAAGCTTTCAAAAGCATGCGTACTTACCACATGCAGGCAAATTGTCTGACTGGTTTTCAAACAGAAACACCCAACTAACAGCATACGTCTGGTAACACTGAAAAGAAAAGAAGAGGACTCATATTACTCACTTTGTTTTGGCCATGACAAATATTTTGCACACAGCAAAATATGTTTTGAAAAAGCAATGGTACTTCACAATCCATAACAAGAGACTCCTGGGTAACATTATCAATTTCAAGGGAGCTCAAATTGAATACTACTACTACAGTTTAAGGATTAATGATATTTTAAAATATGACAGGAATGTTAAACAACACATATACATACCTCATTACAAAACTCAGCAGCAAGCGTAACGTACACCGGTGAAAAAAATTAAAAACAGCATAGAAAATGTTGATATGATCTAATGTCTTTGTATCCCATGAGTGACATTCCTCAAAGGTGGGCAAAAAAGTACAACTTCTTTAAATTCTATGTTCTGTGCCTGGTTCTAATTAAAACAAACCACTTTCTTTTTGTCTATTGTGTTATTATTTTTAAAATAATGCATTTTCTGTTCAACATGCATCCAAACATTTGGTAAACAGGTGTAGATTTGTAGATTTCTAACAGGAATGTATGAAGAAAAGAACATTTCTCATGCAACTTGGTCAATAAATTAACTACAATAACATAAAATTCAGTCCATCACATAGCAACAAAATCTGCGTTCGAGCTTAAAATAAAATGAGAAGAGTAATAAAATTTGACCATCCACTGCTTCCCACACCCCACAGGCAGATGAATGAAAGTGTAGCTTTCTAAGAAAATTTACAAATGAAATGATAACAACAGTTAAACATTAATATAGTTGAAACCCTGTGTAAAGCATTAGTTCATCCAAGAGATTTTTCATCAAAGTAAGTTTGATAACTCTTCAAGATCTCAGAGATAAAAGATTCATAGCCAATAACAAACAACTGCCTGCCTGTACGTACACCACCATTAAAGATCAATGATGCCACTAAAATTTACTGCTCTCAATGTTAGACAGTAGAAATATTCTGAAATAGAATATAACGTATCACAGTGAAATTGCTCTGTGGGTCACTGTGAATTTCTTAGTTTACTCTTGATCCTGCAGTAATGCAAGTCACTGTGATGTTTAAGATTCAATTGCTCTAAATCCTGCAGATTTGGAAGCACAGCCAGTACAAGGAATTGTGATAAGTGTTGATAAATCAAACGTCACAGAAGTGACTGCTCTAACATAATCCGGTCAAAGCCAGATGGTGGAGAATAATGGAGTCTTTCAACACATAAATCCAATATTGCGCCTTCATCCACTGGAACAAACAAAACAAGTTGAATTAAAATGTTAGTTGCCACTAAAGCATGTAAAAGAGTTTCTTTTCTTTAAGTACTCTTACCAAAGAGGATTGGATACACTGTTCCTCGAATACCAGTCATTGCTGGCTCCACTAATACATTATTAATATAAAACTTCAGTTCTTCATGGTCATATGTCATACCCTGATAGAATTTATGTTGAAATTACTGTTGAGTAAGAACATGACTTAAGGTAATAGTGAGGTATACATACCAGTATGTCACCATCACTGATTGTATCCCCAGGAATGCCAGCAATCTTTCCAACTTCTTTTTTATCGTGTCTCAGGGTACCATCATTACATAGGACCCACGAATCTTTGTCTGAGCCACCTGGGGCTGAGTTCAGATCAGCATTGCGTGTTCCGAGACCAACACCCCATACACCTTTTAAATTAAAACCAATATTATTATTTTTAAACACGAAAACTTTATGAGATAAAACTTATTAAAAACTCAGCTACATATACCTGTTTGTTGTAGTTTAATTTCCCAATACGCTTTGTTCTGGTTAATTGGTTCAGTAGCTATGGTCCCTCCGTTTCCACAGAGGCGTATACCATTTTTCACAATGACAACCTCATGACCTGAATGAAAGGTTGGAAATAAATGTAACAATAGTAGTCAGAAAGAAACAACAAGCATAAAATTAAATATGTGCATAATAAAACATACCCATGTAGTTGGTGTCCAACAAAATAGGTTCTCTGTTACCCTCCACACCATTTTGGTCACGACGATTGGATAAGTTTCCCCCATAGTTTGACGGCCCCCCAAAACAACCTCTCAGACTCAAACAGCACAATGCGTACGACATAGCTTAAGTTTAATTCAAATCAGAAAAAGATACCTGTTACCTCCCACCCAACAGTGAGGTTTGTTTCATATGGTAACACCTGTCAGCTGTCAGAAAGACTACTAAAGAGGAAACAAATCCACAATGAAACTAGTCATCTATGACGCACAAGTAATAAAATTAAGACAGTTTATATTTTGCTATTACATTTTTAAACACATTTGACAACAAAACTCTAAAGAGGTGTTTCTGACAGTAGTAGTCATCTAGTGAAATAGGTGTCAAACACATTAAGGAAGGCTGTGTGTTCGTGTTGTGTTGTGTTGGTGGTGGTGGTAGCGGTTTGGAGCTCTCTTTTCGAATTTCGCTTGAAAATAAATAGAATGTGTTCCAATTATAATTTATCCGACCATCTCCTTCCTTTTAAATGATTAAAATTACTCAGATGAGTCTCGATTTAATAGTAAGTTGAACTTAACGCCAACCTTAGTAAATTTTCATCTTCTGCTCTGTCTGCTATAGCACTCTAAAGCAGAAACTAATTGTTTAATTTAAAATTATGGGTAGAATTCATTTACATTTACCACGAAAAAGATGTCAAATGCCAAGATTGAGTTAAGGTTCTGCCGTGAAACTGGCAAGCTTGTTTTCCTTCCACAGCAAACAAGTCTTTGAAGTACGTTTAGGTTATGTTTTCTTGTTTGGCGTTTGTTAGTGTGCCTAGCACATGATAATTTCTTATTATTACTAGACTTGTTGATGTACTAATATAAAAAAATAACGTGAATTAAATATTTTAATCACCTACACCAATAGTATTTTTAATTTTTAGAATAACTGAAGTGCACCTCTCAATGTGTAATTTGTTCCAGTTAATACATTTCCACCATGAATCCAACGACATCTGTAATGTTGGGTCCAGATTTGATGGGAGAGCTTAGAGCGTTTATTAATGGAGCAACTCGAAGTTCAAGGAAAGGTCATTTAGACATTGGGCTAGCCCGTGTTGCACTCTCTCTCCTCAAAACATTGCCTGCTTCACGCGAAGCAGTTTTAGAGTACTTTTGCTTCCTTTTTGATGAAGTTGTACGCCACTACATAGAAAATGTAGAGGTAAGTATCTAAATTGACCATAGTGTATTTCTAATCAGCAAGCAGGATTTGTTCACTCACAGTGTTTCTGTAGGTTGCGGCTCAGAAAGGATCAAAAGATCATGAAGTTACTTTGTCGGCACAAGAGGAAGCAGCTATAGCAGAAGTTCATAATGTTCTTTGTGATTTTGTGAGTAATTCTCCTGAGGCATGGGCACCTATCATTAGCAAGTGGTCTCTTCAACTCTTAGGTAACTATCAACCAGAAATCTTTGACAGTTAACATGTACACCTTAATAAATACTGTGCCTTAATTGTTATTACTGTTGAAGGTGAGCTCTCTAGCCGTTATGCCAGTAGAGCAGCCCATTCAGGTATTCTCAGTGAATCGCTCCAGTTGTGGATGTCTTGCCGAGCTACAAGAAGTCTGATTGATATAACAACACAATGCCTATCATGTTTAATGAACTATGACACCGAGTCATGTATTAATGCTTTATTAGGTTGGTTGACATTTTTGCTTTACTGCTGTTTTATCTTTCTGTATTTTTAAGTTGATTTAACTTTTTATTTGTTTTTGTTGCCTAGACACGTGTGTTGCTCACAGTCCTCATTTTGACTGGGTTGTAGCCCATGTGGGTAGCTGCTTTCCAAGGACAGTTATGACAAGAGTACTTTCATGTGGTTTGAAAGACTTTTGCAGTAACCAGCAAGGACCTAAAGCTCCAAAACTCAACTCGGTTGTTCAAATTTTAGGCTATTTAGCAGGGAGTCATTCGACTGACATGAGAAGAGCACTTCTACAACTATTCCAAGTACAAACTTACATTATTTTGACATCACCTAGCTATACAATTGATGATTTGTAAATTTTATCATATTTTGTTTTTATACTTATTCTTTTTAGTGGAGTCTGGAGAAATCAAAAGTCTCTGATGCTGTAACAACTCATCAACAGTATTCTACTGTCCCATTTTTATTACAACTCGCCTCTATGTCCTCAACACTATTGCGTTCTCTGAGCATGGATGTACTTCATACATGTAAGTATAATTACTATTTATTACATCTTAATTTTTCCGTTAATTTTTTAGTTGATTCACACTTGTTTATATTTTTTTAAAGTGACACCAAAAATTTTAAGTCAGTTAGCAGAGCAATCTGCAGACTGGTTAGCATATTATGGAGGGCGTGAGGCTTTCCAAGACCTTCTGGTTCACCTTGTCTTAGGGTGTCCAAGCGGTGGACCAACTATTTTAGCATTACTTCTTGATTGTGCATCACCATCCACACCAAAACTAATGCCGACAACTCCAGAAGAAATAGTTGTCCAAACTAATGGCCAGGAATTTCTCGGTACTTTTAATTAATTCTATTTTCTGTCATATTTGGAGGATCTCTTTCATATGATTAGGAGTTTAGACATTCCTCTTTATGCACTTCTGAAAATAATGTGTCAGTGCCTTAAAAAATGCCTTGTATTATTTTTAGAACTGCTGCTTCAAGAACTCTCTCTCCTCCTTCACCGTGTGGACGGAAACATACCTTTCCTTAGTTCACTTCGTCAGGATCTAAAGACAGTTCTCCCTCTCCTTCTCAGCCCTCTAAGACTGAGGGTTCAGTCTGCTCTTCGTCTTATTGGCTTCATGGGTAAACAAATTATCTGTGACATGTTAATTTGTTTGTACACAGAACACCTATTTTCACAAATATCATTGTTTTTATTCATCTCCAGGTCTTCAAAGTCCAAGTGTTTTTCCAAATGCCATAGCTTATATTTTAACCAATGCTAAAACTGAAGACCATCTAAGTGTTGTTGCCAAACTCCTTGAAAACCAGGCAAGTGCAAGTGGGAACTTTAGAAAATCAAATAGGACGGGCTTATCTTTGGAGCATTCAAATATCCTTCAGTTAGGTCTTGAACAAGCCTTACACAAAAAGGATGATGGTTTGTCTATTAGGGACCTGTGGAAGAACCTTACAACTCTATTACGGTAAGGCTCTCTTTTAAAATAAGTAACTATCTGTACACAAATATCAACAAGTGAGAACATACAGTACTTCTTAGATCTTCATTAAATGTACTGTTGCAGATGGGAGCGTTCAGGAAAATTAAAAAACCATAGTCAACCTGTACTTAAAGCAATTTATTCATCGATTGGAACAGCCTGCTCATCATTGGGTTCTAGTGTCAAACCTGATGTAGCTCATGCAGTAGCAGAAACTTTGGTTTTGGCTCTTGTTCAAGAGCCAGGGGAAAAGCCAACATCTGTAACTCCCCCAATCATTCAAGATGCTTTAAGATTGGCACATTCAACGGTTTCCTATTTTTTTATGTGTGTGGAAATAGGTAAGCGTAAAAATCATATAAGTTTCTTGTGTTGTTTTTTTTTAACTTATCTATAGTCTGTGGTATGAATCTTTGCATCAACAACCAATCATTTCTTCTCTTTTTTTTTCTCTATCTTAAACAGATGATAGCAGAGGTTTTGAAGGATGCCAGGTTGCCTGTAAACTTCTTTCAAGACTTTCTCTACGGTCATCTGCTGCTAGATCTCTTGCTCTGAGAACTCTTCTAGAGCTTGCTCTTTTTCATGGGCCTACTCATCTCTTTGGAGCCAATGATTTATTAAATGAGGAATTTTTCTCTGCAGAGGAATCAGATATAAGACTAATGGATGAAAATCTTAAGCAGGTCTGTTGTTTTCTACTTTTGTACTTTACTGTTAGAACAATGTTTCTGACTACTTATAATCTTTCTGTATATGTTTTTACAATACTCATGAGATTATGTTCTCTTTTTCAGGGTTTAAGCTGGGTGCTAGCCCAGAGACATTCATCAGTATTTCATGCTGGTGTCATTGGCACTGGCCTGAGAACTTTAAACAAAAAAAATACTACACCTATATCTTTGGTTCAAAGAAATACACAGTTATTTTTGGATGCTGTGAGATCCTGTTGTGTGTCCAATGCCATCTTGGACCCCACTGCAATGGAGCCTGGAATGCCTACACTTTCTCTTGATACTGTTATATCAGTTTCCCTACTGTTAGTTGAGCTGATATCTCCAGATGTTATGTACAATGGTCTTCCTTGGCCTGACGAGGATGGATGTAAAGTAAGAAAATGTCTTAATACACTTAAACTATAAGATTTAAAAAAACTACTGCGATACAATTTTTTAAAAAATAAATCAAATTTCAGGCTACTGTGGAAAGAGATTGTTATATTAGAAGAAAGCTGGAACAGGGCCCAATCTTGTGGGAACTTCTTTGGTTCATTGGTTTGCAGAGGCCAGCTTTGTGCTATTGCTCGGTCATTTTACGTGCTGTGACAGCAACATTAATTGCTCAATGGGGTTCATGTAGCCACCATCGAGATCCATCATTACTCCCAACAACAGTTAGGCTCCTTAGTCTCCTTGCTCTAGGACAGCTACTTCCAAGCCCTCTTTCAAGCTTGAGAGATGTTGTCCCTCACATAAAACCTCCAGAAGTATGATGAAAATACTAAGAATGTGTAATGTCGTAGTTTTGATATTTACCCACACTCAACCACATTTGACTAATATTGTTCTCATGTTACAGGTTGTGCAAGTTTTAAGAGACTGTGTTTGGAATTACATGCGTGACCATGTACCTGCACCTGATCTCTTTTCAAGAGATACTCATGGAAATATGTGGCGTGATTCAACTCAAGAACCCCCTGGACCTCAATATACAGAAACAATGCGTTTAATAATGCTGGCAAATATTGATAGTTTAGGAGAGTTATTTGCACAACTGTTTAATCATTGAAAGAACATGATTTTCATGTGACTTTTTATTTCCAATTTCTATGACATTTTCAGATGCAATTTTCAAAAGCTGTTTTTGTATAGTTGTAACAGAACCTTTCTTAAACATAAGAAGTGTACAGTCAAATGTTTGTAATTTTAAAATTTTAATGGACAGAATGATATTTTTGCATTAAGTACAGTGCAGAAGCATACTCTGTAAAAGTACACAAAATACCCTCGATGAATTAAGGCTAACTAGAAATCACCAGCCTGTGATAATTGTAATGCAGTAAAATTAAAGAATTCAAATAAAATATTGAACCTGATTACGGTTACGGTACAAAGTCTGATAATTGTTTAAAAAGTTCTTCGAATAATACATCAGCCTTTACTTCTCTATCTGCAATATTACAAATACTGTTAGAAAAGATCTAAGATTTTAAGATTTTGAATTAGATGTGAAGCACTAGTACCTCGAAATTTATTTCGGTGTCCATCCTTTGGTTTAGGCATATCACTTAAAGGACACGCCAAAGGAGGTGTGAAAAAGTATGAATGACTCAGTGCCTGAAACCATAAATATTAAGTTCAAGACTTTATGAAATTGTAGATTTTAGATTAACTGACTCCGTATTACTGAGTTACTTTCTCAACTCACCTCTTGAGCTGTTATCCGTTTATCTGCATCATAGAGTAAAAAACCTTGAATAAGACTTAAAGCATCTGGAGGACAATCAGGAACAAGAGTTTCCCAAGGTATTCGTCGAGACTCAGGAAAGGTGATTTTATTGTAATCGGGGAGGGATGTCAAACCAGGCCAGGATTCTTCCGTTGGTGTTCCTAAACTACTTATTACCATTGCTAATTGTTCTATATCTGTTTCTCCCTGTAAAACAAAAAAAAAGTAATTTATAAAGTGAGAGTTGTAAGAAAATATGGTAAAATTGCATAAAGTTCCATATTTGTTTTACTTTTACAACATAACAGTACATTTTGAATTGATTACTAGTATTATGAATTTTTTTATCAACATACTGGAAATATAGGACTCTTCATTATAATTTCAGCCAGAATACACCCAACTGCCCAAAGGTCAACAGACTGCGTGTAAAACTTAGCTCCGTACAACAATTCAGGGGCCCTGTACCAGCGAGTTGCAACTTGGTGTGTGTAGGGCCGGCTCTCATTTTTAGAATCTGACCATATTAATCTGGCCTGTCCTAAATCAGCAATCTTTAATTCTCCTTCAAAACTTATCAAGAGATTTGCTGGCTTTAAATCCTGAGAACAGAAGCGCAAAATAATACACATTAAAGTGTACAACATAGGAAACACGTGCCTAAGGAAGCCAAAAGAAACCCTAGAAACTGGGGTAGGAATGACCTTAACAATAACAGGTATGAGGTTGAGAATGAAAACTGAGCTTACCCTATGCATTATGTGATTCTTGTGTAAATAATTCAAGCCCATCAGGAGCATGCGCATGTAGCTCTTTCCTTGAGCAAGGGTAATGGGATTTTCTACATCATGTAGCATTTCCCACAAGCCAGATGGCATTAATTCAAATACCAAAACAAAACCCAAACCTTGAGGGAAGAAATCTAACAGTTTTACTATCTGCAGGCATATAAATTAATGGATATTTGATTAAGTACAATTTGTATGTGATTAAGATATTCTTTGCATAAACAATAAGTAAATGTAAAGGTTTGGTCTATTTTCTACTTACATAGCGACAGTCAACAGTTTTCAAGATTTTGCTCTCTCGTAAAATACTAATTGGGATCCCGTCTTCTAGTTTTCTCACCTTTACCTTTTTCAAAGCCACATCACGGCCACTGGGTAAATGTCTTCCTCTCAAAACAAGTCCATGCGCTCCTTCACCTATATGACCTGTTACTGTGTAGTTTTCCATCATTCCTTTTCAGATCATGGTCCAAGTCAAAGGTTACAAAAGCATCAGTCTTTAAGCAGAAAATAAACCATGAAAGTTTGTCCGTTGGAGACAATGACACCTCAAGTTGCTCATTCCAATAAATCATTCATCTTACAATCTGTCTGCTCCAACATAAGTGGAAAAAAGTAAATGTTTTTTTCAGAGAAAATTGTATTAAACCAACTTACATCGATCAATAACAATGCCACATAACCTCATTCGTGGCCGTCTACTAGGAGGCGTCTGTGTCCGCTCCGCTCATTTCAAAACAGCGTTGCCATAGCAACAGGAGTGGGTGTGCGGTGGGGTATGATGGACAACTACCTGACCGTTAATTAAATGCTTTCAGCCCTGAAAACAGAGTAAAATACTGTAGAAAGAAGCCTGCGTGCTTAACGTTAATTCGTTGGTCGTGTAACGTACATGGCGCATCATATGGGAACCAAGCCCAACGTTCTTGGTTCCCTTTCATTATACACTTGTGCACTCGTGGGGGCGGGTTGCCTACTGCTCCGAGCCGTAAGGCGCCGTGGTTAGTAGTGAGTTATTGACGGTAGTCGAATTCACCTGTGAGCTGTGAGCGACACAGTAACAGAGAAACACCAGGACCAGGAGTTGTGGGGCACCTTTGAATACATTTCTCTCGAGCCGACAACACTAATAGCCGCTAAAGTGTGAAAGTGTTCAGCTCTAACAGATGCAATTTTTCCTGCCAATGCATTTCCATATGTCTTTGCTCAAATATGTTTGTGTTTCCTCACGTCTCTCTTGGCATTACAAAGCACGTCGCTTTAGGGCGCGCCCAACAGGTGGTTCGGACGCGCGGAGTGGGCGGCTAGGGGAGGCCTGACCGACAAAGGCTGCGTCACGCGGTGTCCAGCGGGCAAACATCCGGGCCGTGGGGGCGCATCCTGGGCCGGCATGGGCCCAGTATGGGCTAGCCCGGCCCGGCCCCCGGCCCCCCGGCCCCCGGCCCGGCTGGCCCGCGCTGGTCTTCCCTCGCCCCGCTCAGCTCCGCTCAGCTCCGCTCCACCCCATGGGGCTCCCTGCAGCCGGCTCCGTCCCGGGTCGAGGGCCTGCGCTGGAATGGCGGCGTGTCTCCGCCCCGCCCCCCAGCGCCGCGGCGGCCCCTGCAGCAGCAGCAGCAGCAGCAGCCCCAGCCCCCTCCCCGCCCCCGCCGAGCCTCAATTGAGCGCGATGGTCGGGGCAGAGCGGGGCACAGCAGGCCTCGGCCGGGGCAGTGCCGGGGCCGCGGGGAGGTTAACGAGTCTTGATTGGCACAAGTGGTCGTGATGGCCCCGGACCCGCGCGGGTGCGCGGGCATACCCCGCCCGCCCCG